TTTTTTTTGGTGGTATCAGGGATCAAACTTGGGACCTTACACTTGCCAGGCAAACACTTATTCCACTGAGCTATCTCCCTGGCCCTAAGTTTTAAACTTTTTAAAAAATTAAATTTAATTTTGAAAAGAAGAAACAAAAGCAAGAAGAAAAATCAGAAGCAAAGACAGAAACAGGGTAACATACAACAATACATATGTTACAGATTTTCAAAACAAGAATAGCTGATTTGGGGGGCCAGGGAGATGGCTCAGTGGAATAAGCACTTCCCTGGCAAGCGCAAGGGTCTGAGTTCAATCCCTGGTTCCACCAAAAAAAAAAAAGAATAGCTGATTTGGTCTGGCTAAATAGCTCAGCAGATTAAAGTGTCTGCAAGCAGGGGCAGAGGCCAGGGATTCAATCCTGGGCTTGTCATGCTAGCCCCACCCCTGGGGCATGCTGAGATGGCAGTTGAGACTGGGCATGGAGGCATGTGCCTGTAATCCCAACTCTTTGGGAGACTAACAGGCAAATAACCACGAGTCTGATCTAGTAGTGAGACCCTGAATGCCCTGTAGACACTTCCCTAAAAAAAAAAAAAAAAAAAAAAAAAAATGATTAACAATGGTTGACATATTATCTATTTCTATCATCAAATCTGTTGCTTATATTAACAGATACAGTTACGTAAGATTGTACATAAGATTGAATATTACTGCTTGCTTTCAAGAAACCTTACATTTTTTGTTCTTGTCTCTTTTTTTGTGTTTTTACCTTTCTAAAAAATTTTAAAGAGAATATAGTAATAATTGTTATGAAATTAGAAATGGTACACATTTAGAAGACCAAGTTGACAGGTATTCATGCATGGTTTTTGTGTTACACATTGCTGCCCTTGATATAGTTGCTTAGATTGCAGATAGCAGCATAGAGGCTTAGTCAAGGTGAAAATTCTACATATTAACTGCTGTTTTTTTAAAAAAAACTCATGGAAATTTTTAGCACAATCACCTCAGATGTCAGAGTTTTATAATTTTAAATCTTGTATCTACTTCTTTGATCTATTTGAGTTGAATTTTCTGCTTTAAGAGAAGTATGGTTCTAGATTTCTTTTGTGGAACCAGCTACCCAACTGTACCAGCACCATTTGTTGAGAAGACTGCTCTTTGTCCACTGAATTATATTGATATCCTTGTTGAAATCAGTCACCTGTAGATACAGGATATACAACTATATTCTGAATTCTGTTTCATTGTAAGTCCTCAAGCTGTGATGGAGTTACATCTTAATAAGTCCATCGTAACTTGAAAACACTACAAGTTGAAAATGTATTTGTCTTACTTTGCTCATTGCTCAGACAAAATACCAGACACCCACAAGTTAAAAAAGGAAAGATTTATTTCATCTTAGTTTGTAGAGGTTTTAGTTCACAGTTGGCTGATTTGAAGGGAAAGTGGCAAGGCAGATGGGCACTGCAGAGGAGATATGTCTGTGGTAGAGTAGGCTAAAGTAGAATCAGTGGCAGCAACAATAGTAAAACAAGCTTCCCTTTCCCTTTTATTCTATCCAGGCTACAAGCCTTTTGGGTGGTGCCACCCACACCCAAAGTGAGCTTTCTCATTATCCAGAAATATGCTAATTGCAATCAGTGCACTAATTTAGTATAACATACCCTTAATCTCAGTATCACACACCCTAGATCCAGCCAGCTCCAGAAAGCCAGCCCTGTTAGCACATGAGGTTTTGCAGGAACATCTGTATACAAGCTTTAACAGCATTTTGACATCTAACCTAAAGAATGCTGTAGCTTTACAATACAGTACACAGTAGAACATTGCTCGGTTGCCCTTGCGAATATGTTGCTGATTTGGAGCTGTGGTTTACTGCAAGCTGCTCAGCGTCATGAGAAAGTATCATACTATGCATTTATGGTCTGGAAAGAGTTCAAAATTAAACAATTGAAGTGTAGTTTTTATTGAAGATATATTATTTTTCCACCATTGTAAATTGTAAGTAGAGCCCCAACAAGTCAAGTACCACTAGTATATGTTATTTTGTCACTATCATATTATCTTGATTATTATTACTTTTTAGTCAGTTTTCAAGTTGAGATATAGGACTTCTGCTTTATTTTTCTTTTTCATGATTGTTTGTCCTGAGTCCCTGGAAATTCCATGTGAATTTCAGAATTAGTTGCTTGTTTCTACAGTGAAGTCAATTAAGATTCTGGTAAGACTGGATATGGTGGTTCATGTCTATAATCCTAGGTCTTCAGAAGCTGAGATAGGAGACTAAGTATAAGGCCAGCTTGAGCAACTTACTGAGATCCTTTGCCAAAATAAAAATTTTATAAAGGGCTGGGAATGTAGTTCAGTGTTAGAATATTTGCTTTGCATGTATGAGGTACTGAATTCTGGCCCAAGAACCCCTACCTCTATACCAAACACATACAAGATAGTGATAAGGATTGTTTTCAGTCTATGAATCAGTTTGAGGAATGTTGTCACCTTATGAATGTTAAATCTTTTGTCCATGAATGTGGTATACTTTTCCATTTATTTACATACATACTTCGATAATACTTTATACATTTCAGAGTACATGCTTTGAATTTCTTTTGTTAAATTTATTCTGAAGTATTAGTTCTCATAAATTTTTAGAGAATATTTCCATACCCTCTGCGAAGAAAGATAGTTTTACTTTCTTCTTTTTAATCGTGAATTTTTTATTTTTATCTAAGTAGCCAGAACCTCTTGCACAGTGTTGAATAGAAGCGAGCAGAGAATACACCATTGCCCTGTTCTGAGCTATTAGAACTAAGTAAAGAAAGCATGTTTTGTAGGATGTAAGATAAATATATAAAAATCAATTGTATTTTTACAAATTTGAAATGACCAACCAGAAAATGAAATTGTTAGAAATAGTTTTATTCACAAAAATCAGAAAAAATTATTGATAAGCCTAATTCTTTTTATATTTGTTTCAACAAAGATTCTATGGCTTTTCTTCCTTATTTTCCCTCAAGAACTTTACAGTCAACTGACTACCTTCAATGAGAAAACTTGATTGTATTTTTATTGGAGTCCTGTAAACTTTATAAATTAACCTAGGGAAAACCAACACATTTGTGATGAGGATTGTTTTTGGCTAAGATTGTGATAAGACTTTTAATTTTTTTGGATCTACATTTTTGGTTTTGAGGAGCATATTTTTTTTCTCATTTTGATTAAAATTTTTTTAAGCTAAATTTGTGTCTGTAGAGTGCATTATGGACATTGGCATTCATTAATTTATCAAATATTCACTCATTGTCTGTATATCCCAAATACTATGCTAGTTGCTGGGGATGAACTGCTAAACTAATATTTCTGACCATTAGCAGTAAACAAGCGACTTTTATTGAGTGAATATGTGCTCTCATGAAAGTAATAATGGGGCAAATACAAGACATATAAGGTGCCTTGGAAAGTGGAAATAATGGAAAAACAACATCTTAGGGTTGTTTACATGTGGTAACACAGAGATGGTTATTTGAAGTAGTGGCAGATAATGAATTCTGGCTCCACAATGGTGATGATAATGGTAGAGGATGTAGACAGTTTCCAGAGATGATCACTTCAAAACTGTGACCAAAAATAGTTGACAACATGAAGAAAGTTACCTTCTAGGCAGGGGAATATCAATATGAGAATTTCATAATATGAAACTCTTACCAATACCTTACAAAAGAAGGAAAAGAGAAAATCATGAAATGTCAGTTGTTGGAATTTCACTGTTTTTGAGAGACTTGAGCAGTGTGATTCTTTTTCCTTTTAAATTTTCCCCACTAACTCAGTTTTGTTGTTTTACTATTGGAGGTAATCTTTTCCAATGAAACATAGGTTGAATTTGGTGGGAAGCTTTAAAAATTTAAATAGAAAAATTTGATTTTAGCTTCTATCAGTGGAAAGAGTTTTTAGTTTTCATTATAGGATTATCTTTTTGTTTGTTTGGATTTTTTGTTTTTAATCTTTGTTTTTCCTTGCAGGATGATAATGTCAGATCCCTTCTCTGTAATTTGATGCATTTTAGAAATTCAGTGACTGCTGAACAAGTTTTGAATGCTGAATGTTTCTTGCTACCAGAGGTGAAATCAATTCCAAACCCAGAAAAAGAGGTTGAATATAGTCAGTGTGAAAAGGAAGATGAATTAAAAATGGAGAACGTGGATACATGTAAAGAAAAGACAAGAAATGGTGAAACCAACACTGATTAATGTTAATACTCTGTTGTTGCAGATGTTCCTTTAAAAAAACTTTTCATTTAATAGGTCAGAGATCTGAAAATGTTCTGGAACTAGTGGGATAGTATCTTCGGTGTTCATGTTGTGAAAAATAAAAGACGTTTCATTGTGCCTAAAAGTTATTTGTATGCTTTGAAATTTTGCTTAATTTGGAGTTATTAATGGAGGATTTTCTGTCTGGATTTAATATAATTTAATAAGTAGACTGTTAAAATAGTGAAGATTATTAGATTGATAGAAGTCATACAGATTTTCAGTATATTGGCTGCCTTATGATGAAGGTCCTTCTGTTCAGTAAGTGACGGTTGGCATTTATTCACCTTTTCTGGAAATACAGAGATAAATTCAAACCTATTATTACACTTATAAAGCTCTCAAGAAGTGAAAAATTTGGAGATATAAGCAGATCTTTACAATACAGTATGAAATGCATAATGATAGCACTGGGCATCATGGAATTATACAGGAAAAGTACTCATAGAGTAGTTTTAAGGAGAGCTTTCTGGAGGAAATAATAACCTTAATTAAATCTTAGTAACTTTTTAAAAATTAGTAACTTTTTAACAAAAACATAAATTGTACATATTAATTAAAATAACAATGTTTATGCATATATCTCAGATAGTGTTTAAATCAGGCTGAACATGTTTATCTTTATGGTAGAAATGGTCAAAATCATTTCTTCTAGCTTTTTAAGATGCACAGTACATTATTGTTACCTGTTTGCACCTTTCTTGGAAATTACACCCCTGAACATGTTGCTCCTGTCTAACTGTAACTTAATACCCAATGATGAATCTTTCCATATCACCATCGCCCATTCTTCACCCCCTTCACTCCTCTGGCCCCTGGTAGCCACTATTGTGTACCTAGATTTTATGTGGTCTATGTTTCCAGATTGTACATATAACTGAAAACATACAGTACTTGTTTTTCTGTTCCTGGCTTCACATAGTGACCTACAGTTTCATCTGTGTTACTGAAGATGACAGGATTTCATTTCCCTTTTTAATGGCTGAAAGCATTTTGTTATGTATATAGTGCAGTAATACATATGTAATGACATTTTCTTTATTCATCATTTGATGGGCACTCAAGCTGTTTTCTTGGCTATTGGGAATAGTGCTGTATATATAACATGGTGTTTTTTTCAGTTTACTGATTTCATTTCATGTGACTATATATCCAGGAATAGGATAACTGGTAGTTCTGTTTTTAACTTTTTTAGGTAACTCCAGTGTGTTCCATAAGACTTTACTAATCTATATTAGCTCCAACAGTATACAAGAGTTTTCTTTGAGGGGACTGGGGAGATGGCACAGTAGAATAAGTGCTTTCCTGGCAAGCGCAAGGGTCTGAGTTCAATCCCCGGTTCTGGGGGAAAAAAAAAAAGTTTTCTTTGAGGATGTTATCTTTTCTTTCTTTCTTTTTTTTTTTTTTTTTTTTGTAATAGCCATTCTTATTGGAGTGAAGAGACAGTCTCATTGTTTTGATTTGCATTTGCCTGAAGATTAGTGATGATGAACATCTTTATACACATGTGTTGGCCATTTGTATGTCATCTTTTGAGAAATGCCTGTATGTATTTCCTGGTTTTTAATCAAGTTATTTTTTCTGAGTTTTAGGGGTTCTTTATGTATTCTGCCTACTAGACTTTCAGAAAAATTGCAAATAAGTTTTCCTATTCTGTAGGTTATCTTTTACTCTATTGATTATTTCCTTTATTGTGCAAAAGATTTTTAGTGTGATGTACTTCCATTTGTTAGATTTTTTTTAAAGATTTAAAATTTCTGAATTTAGTTCAACTCATAATACCACATTTCCAAGAAAAATGAACCTGTTGCAAAGACATTTAAATAAAATCATACCAAGATACACAAAAATGAAATTGTCCAAAACTTCTTGTAAAGAAAAAATCATTAAAGCATATACATAAAAATATTA